GTATCTTGAAGTATTGTGCATATTCTGAATACTGGGCATATTAAAATCACATATTTGAATTTTGACAAGCTATTTTAATTATTCTAATATTATTTTATATTACTATATTTCTTATTTAATCCTTTGTACCCATCTTAAAGATTCAATGTTGGATATTCCAGACAAATGTGAAGTAAATTGAAGTACAATAATGCCACTAATCAACCAATCTCGCACCTGCTGAGGAAATGACCGGAGTGAAATCAATGTGAGCTAGCTTTGCACGTGCCGCAGCTACCTGATTTGGCATGGTGGGAATAATACCATCTGCCATCAAAATGAGAATACGTATTCTCGTTGCCGAACAGAGCCTAAGTTTAGGGTGAATGAGGAATATCTAAACTGCTCACCATCTTCACCGTAAAACGCAGCCAATGACATCTAGAGTTGAATGGAACATGGAATTGTCTTGTTCTCGGGTAGGAGGACATTTGGATATTCCGATCTTGAAGTAGCCTACTTCAAGACGTAGATCGTTTGAAAGGGTTTCCAGGCTTCGCGAATGTAAACGGTAATCTGTCGGTATGATTGTGAATGACAAAATGGCCGGAGAACTGGGAAGGCGAGGTACAAAGCTATCATCGTGGATGTGGCAAGGTAGGAGTCGATGATGTGATACATTAGATCTGGAGTTGATCTGGAGGAAGTGGTATATTCCACTCATTTGTTTCAACTAGATTTTGTCCGCTCTGGGTAGTGGGTTTACCTCGGCGCTTGAAGATCGTGTGAAGTCGTTGAAGGAGGGAAGGGGAAGAAGGTATCTTTCTTGAACGATATCGGTTCAGCATTCTGTGTGGGAGGTTCGGGGTGGTAGGTGAAAATGCTCAGGTTGTCGCCCCTGGACTCGGAGGCGCACTGTAATGTACACGAGGCCTGCCTCGCTTCACTTCCGATTGGCAGTTTGCATTTGGATTGCATGACGTGAACGCGGTGGTTACATGCCATTCTTAACGAACTGACGCCACTTTATCACCTGCCTTGCCTGAAGACAAGGCATCGGACTAGCTTCAATATACTTCAACTGATTCAAGGGTTGCAGTTTCCAATAGGTGTAATCTTCATCGACCATACAATTCACGACCAGTACCTCCTTCAGCGACGTCCATGTCCCCTCCCTCTCGAAAATACTATCCACGGAGAGCCAGTCACACTTTCTCAAATCTTGACGGTCAACCGTGCTCAGTATAAGGACAATTTTCTCCACAGTGTTGTGTCCGTTGCAGGACGCCAATATGTAGGGAACGCAACGAAACGGCGCGATTGAGGAGTAGATTCCAAAATTGGTATACGCTGTCTGTTCAACAGTATAGGAAAGACTGATAGACAATGTGAGGTGACGGAGGTCGGTAAGAACGCCGAGGTTGAAATATTCTGGGAGTATGATGTGAGTATGAGGTTAATTAGGAATAACTTAACTGCTCACCATCTTCACCGTAAAACGCAAGGTCTAACACTTGAAGAGAGGAGGAACACAACTGAAATAACCCTTGTGGCCTATTCCGATATCCGTCATACTCAATCACCCTCAATCTGGACCAGTCAAACGGCGTCCCTGCACCGATGAGGCAATACGGGAGACCGCCACGGAGACGAACTTCTTCAACAAACACCTTTTCTCTTTCTCCTGACAAGGACACGTAGTCGGGACGCCCCACATACGTATCGACGTCGAGTTTTTTGAGATTTTGCACCACACTCAATAGGTTTACGGGAATGTCACAGTATCTCAGCTTGACTGAGCATAAGCCGCTGCGTTGCAGAAGAGCGAAGATGTAGGCTTTCAGGTATTGGTCAAGCTTTTCCCATCTTACTGTGATGTCCAGTTCGATTGATGTGAGATCGTGCGTTAGATCGCTGATCAGGGACAGGAAGTCGCGATTTTTTTTCGTGCCAGCATAGCCAATGTCATCATGTGTCGAAAGGAACATGGAGCCGTCTTGTTCTCGGGTAGGATGACATTTGGATATTCCGATCTCGAAGGAGATCGTCTGAAGGGGTTTCCAGGCTTCGCGAATGTAGACGGTGATGTGTCGGTATGATTGTGAATGACAATATGGCCGGAGAACTGGGAAGGCGAGGTACAAAGCTATCATCGTGGATGTGGCAAGGTAGGAGTCGATGATGTGATACATTAGCTCTGGAGGAAGTGGTAAATTCCACTCATTTGATTTATTTTTTCCTAGGCGCTTGAAGATCGTGTGAAATCGTTGGAGGAGGGATGGGGAAGAAGGCATCTTTCTTGAACGAAACCGGTTCAGCATCCTGTCTAGGAGGTTTGAGGTGGTAGGTGAAGATGCTCAGGTTGTCGCCTCTGGAGGCGCACTATCGATAAAAAGGCATGTTGAAAGCATGTTGAAGGCATGCCTCACTTCACTTCGGCGGTTTGCGGTGTGCAGTAAGAAGAAATTCAAATAGAGACAGGAGCCAAACATGTACACGCAACGTCAAGGAGTTCTTTCGCTACTACATGCCTAGACTTCACTGCAACCCATCAACAGCACATTTCAGATGGACAACGAAGTGAGGCTATGGTGCATTATTCTAGGTGAACATGTCAACGAGCCAATATTTCGCCTTACAATGCGTGTTGACGACACGGTCTCGTACTCAAGGAGTGCACGAAATGCTAGGGTGGGTCGCATTTCCATATAATCGCTGAGCGCCTCCCTCCGACTTTCCTCCTGGATCGGTTATGCTCGACTTCAAGTTGGACGTAGTGGTCGCCAATGCGCACAATGTCATAACTTGGATCTAAATGTTTTCGATGAATGGAACAGTTTATCATTTCAAGACTTCAGTGTGTTACATATCCATGCAAGTATAATACAAATTTCCGATATTCCAGAAGAAGCAAAAACATATACAAGCTCGGAGGACTCCTCGCAAAAAAAAATACACCCGGCGATTTATGAGATTGACGATTTAAGAGATAGCGATCTTCTTCGGAGCGAGCTCAGCACCTGACTTGGGGAACGTCACAGTCAAAATGCCGTCCTCCATATTAGCCTTGATCTCATCATCCTGAAAAACACGCGTCAGCCCGAAAACCCACTCAAGATTCAATGAGAAAGTTTAAATACCTTCACCCCCTGCGGAAGCTGCAACGTCCTCGAAAACTTGCCAAACCTCCGCTCACGAATCGCATATCCACCCTCATCATGCTCTTCCGAGATTTTGTTCTCAACCGACACGACTAAGCGGCCATTATGGATTTCGAGGTGGACGTCCTCCTTTTTCGAGCCTGGGAACTCGAATGTGGCTGTAACGAGGTTTTTCTCTTTGTCTTCGTGCAGATCCATTCTGTGTTTGTGTATTAGACTGAGATGAGGAAAGCGTAGATTGTTTTTTACACGAACCTTGGCTTTAAACCACGGACGGCGCCTTCGGGTGTAGCGTCGCCTTGCAGAGCGCGCTTCAGGTTGTGGACGCCGCCGTTGCGCGCTGTGCGCGGGGTGAAGACGTCATCGAGGAGGCGGTCAAAGTCGTAGTATGGCTCGTAGTAGAAGACTGACATTGTAGTGATGATGAGTGAGATGAGAGAACTTTGGAGTCGTTCGAGCGAATGATGTTGGGGTGGTGTGCGACGTAGCAAGGCCTTTATAAGCCCTCCAGGAGCAGAGCAAACATAGCTTGGAAGATTCGAGTGAGATCATAGCAGCGTGGCTGGCGAGGTCTGGAACATATCCGAATGTGGTAGAACTTTCTGGACAGACTTGATCGTGGAGCGTTGGTTCCAGATGGGCTTGTACGGAGGGCTAGGCAAACTGTTTTGGTGCTTCGTACATTGAGTACATTGAT